GTACACACATATCTTGCAAATACATTGCCATGCCCTTTCTTGCTCTCTGTTGCAGTAAATTGCCGTTCAGCAGCAATAATTGGGCGGCCAGCTAGTTTTTTTGGTTTTTCAATAACCAAAAGTGGTCGGCAGGTATCTGGAGAGACCAAAAGCAATCGGCCACCCTCCCACAGGTTTCCGTAGGTGGAGTTTCAGCCTACTGGAGCTTGGTGCAAGTTTCTGAGAACAAATGAAAATAGAGGCAAATCGGGCGTCGCATTGGATTTCCGAACGAGGCGACCGAGCATGCATGCATTCCTCTCCCTTTGAAGCTCATGCTTTTACTGCTTTCCTTAGTTGCCATGCTTAGATAGCTAGCATATGCTTTGGTTTGTACATTAATTAGTTAATGCGTTATCTATTTCAAGTCGTTTTGTAATAATTAGTTAACCAGGATTAGTTAATTAATTTGTTGTAATAATTAGTTTAATTAGCTTAGATTAGCTAGTTAGCTTCTTATTCGGTCCCTCTTTCAAGAGGGTGCATTATTGTAATAAGCGTGCGTGTGTGTAATGCATGTCTTCCAACCTCCATTTCTTTCTCCCTTTTATTTAACCGCTTACGATGGTTAGTTTTAGGGCATGTTTATTTAGCATACCTTATGCTCGCATGTTTGCATCCATTCATCTGTATTGCATGCACCGGGCTCGGCGCATCATACTAACTGCATTGTATTTCAATTCCAATTTGAATATATGTATCACGTTGAATCTCACATGACACTCTTAGGATAGCCGAGCCTATCTTAGTTGCATTTTCGCATGTGTTGCATTAGCCATCTTAACATGAACTAGGATCATGCATGATTTCTAACTACTTCTTTGTTTTGGTTCGGAGTACACAGTGAGTGTTTACGCTTTAGCATACTGCATGTGTGCTAATGTTGCCATGAAAGCATGCTTACCATGAGACTAATTGCTTATGTGATTAACTGCCTGAATGTCTGTGGGTGAAGATTGGATTACTTGAATTGGAACAATTAATTGAAATCCGCATTTTAGCCTACTTACGAGTAGCAAACTTCAAACCATTTTCCAAACAAACGGATATGCGATGCTTCGTTCCAAATTAGGCGATCTAGTCTATACTTGTTTGCTGTGCGCATCACGTAGTAAGACTAGCTAATTAATCGGAATAAGAGTGCATGTGTTTTCAAAAACAACATATCATGCTTAGTAGAGGTCAATCTTTGATCGGGCGAGCAGGGATGCTCATTAAATGACCTTCCCCAATCGTATCCAAGTTCCCGAGCCGAGGCAACTTTGGTGATGACGGACACGTGGCCTTAGGCACAAGTCAGGGTTTCCTAAATTCTCCCAAAATAAAATATTTAGGTGGCGACTCTATAGCTGGCAAAGCAGTCCATGTTTGACACTTCTTTATTAAAAATTAGTTTTCCAAAGCAATTTGCTGGATTTGGACTCTTTGGTGATTTATCGGTCTCACGTCGCACATTGTGAGATTAGATTCAGAACCGTGACATTTAAGTCCAAACAGTGGTAAGCCCAAATGAACGAAACGAGATTCTCCTGGGGCATTCGGGCGCGCCCACACCTACATTTCATCTAATTTCACACACTTTTTCCTTTTTCTTTTTCAAATCCCTTCCCAAATCCCTAACCAAGCACAACGTTAGAATCATTAGCTCGACGATCGATAATATGGAGAATGCAACGGTGGACTCCCTCATTGATTATGTCCATGGATAGTTGAATTAGGAGGTTATCCAACAACTATTCCTCCCTTTTGAAGCTGATATCATTTCGTGAAGTGCTCTAAGTCCATGATTACTTGGTGATAAACTCATCTAGCATTACACCAAACGTGGTATGTGCTATTTTATAATTTAAAATTTTATTTTATTTTATTGATCCTTCAAGTAATTTTCCCACCTACTTATGATTAGAGAATATATCTTGATTTACAGCTTTTCAAGAATAATGTTTTGTATCGTTAGAGTTGATTTCCTGATCTTTTGGATAATATCCCACTCGATAAATCACACCACTGGTCCTTCTAGTTTTTGAGTGAAGTGTCAGTTTAATCTCTGTTGTTTCAATTTGAATAATTTAGTCCCGACACTTTTAATTTTGTTGCTATATGATCTCTCCATGCGTTGTTAACATTTTGAACAGAAAAAAATCACATGAAAAACTAAAAGGATCAAAGTGAAATTCAAAACAAACTATAAAGGCCACCGTTGTATGAATTTGTTACACCGGTGATCCCTCTAGTTTGTTTTGAATTTCACTTTGGTCCATTTATTTTTACACTTTTTTTTTTCATTTTAACAGTAAGTGATGGAGGGGACACATTACAACAAAATTGAAAGTATAAGAACTAAATTGTTTAAATTAAAACTATGAGGATTAAAATGACACTTTACTTAAACTATAAGTACCAATGGTGTAATTTTTCCTATCGCATATTTTATAATAATATCTCCTAGACTTGTAATTTTTGTTATATTATATGTATATGTGTGTGTGTGTGTGTGTGTGTGTGTGACTTTATTGTTTACTGCTACACACAAAGAAATCAATATTTAGTCTTTCTTTTCATCTTCTTCTACATATTCTTTTTTGAGTTCATTATATTTATTTTCCAAATGAGTGTTGGGTAATTTATGGTTCGTGAAATTCACTTTGATGCATACAAGTGATTTCGAAGGTCATTGTGTCTTGGGAGAGAAACACCATTCGACTCAGTGCAGAAGAGGGTGTATAATTCCTAAGGAGAGCACAGTCTGCGTGCCTCGACCATCAAGCAAAATTTTTTTAAAACATTTTCTCTACTAATATTTTATTTGATGTTTTAGTTAATTATTAGTTTGGTAATTTTATTCTAACAATAAATCTTGTTTAATTTTTCTACTATCTATTAACTCTACTTATCATTTAACGATTGAGATGTTAAAGGGTAACGTCTCTGTTTAAAACACCTCGAAACAATTGATTTTTTGGACACGATTGTACTCTCTGTGTCCCCACAAATTCAACCGCTTTATCATTTAGTGATGATTTGCTAAGGGCAGTGTCCCTGTTTCAAACATCTTGAATTAGTAAATTTTTTAGACATGACTGTGGTATCTATGTATTCCCAACAAAGTCCAGCATTTTTTAACGATTCTGGTTTGAACCAGACCTGTTCATTGTTTTAGGTCTGGGCTTTCTTGTCTTGATGGTTGTTCATGTCTTCTTCATTCTTATTCCTTGTTGAGATTGGTCATTGGAATGTCTTGGTTGTGTTTGAAACAGGGTGGGATTTTGCTACCCAAATTTTACCTTGTTCACACGAGCGAACTATGAGGACTTCTAGTACTTTTGCAGGTTTGCAAAACTACTATGAGTATGAAATTCTTCGCTCGAGCGGTGTTTCTTGCGCTCGAGCGGTCTTTTGGAGCTCTCAGTACTTTTGTAGGCCTGCAAAACTACTGGGAGGGTGGTGCTTTTAGTTCAACTAATCCTTCTTGTGCTAGAGCGGTGTTGGCTCGAGCGGTCCTTCTTGCGCTCGAGCAGTTAGCCTTTGTTTGCAAAACTTCTGAAAGTATGTCAATGTGCGCTCGAGCGGTACTTTGTTCACTCGAGCGGTCTCACTTTTAGTGTCTAGTCACTCAAGCGGTCTGCGAGTATATCAGTTCTGAAAAGTCACTTTTTGACTTACTTTTTCATCTCTCTCTCTCTAAACATTTCAAAACTTTAGATCTATACTCTCTCTCTCTAGTTCTTGAACATTTGACCCAAATACTCTCGATTTGTACATTTCCTCGCCGTAGTCCCTTTCGTAAAAAGGTAGAGCACCTCGAGAGTTTCGTTCTAATCAGAGAAGTTCGCGTTTCGATACCGTCAAGTTTTACCCATCTTTTCTTTGTGTATTCTTCTTTGAGGTAGGGATTACTTTGACTCTTTCTATGATTTTTAACTTAGTTATTTGTCTTTTAAAAAGAATATTGTGATTTAGGGATTTTGATAAAAATCTAGGGTTTTGGTTTTGAAATCGAAAGTATAGCGATTCCGGTTTTGACCTGACTCTTGCTGCATTTTGAACTCGGGCTTATAGTTTCTGAATGTTGTTCATTGTCGTTTTCTCCTTAATCCCCCTTAAATTTAGTTATTGGATTGTAGTTGTGTGTTTGGAACAGGCTGGTTGCTTGTTTCTCCAAACCTTTGTTGCCCAGATTTTTGATCCTTTGCTCGAGCGGGCTTTGCAATTTTGCTCCTCTGCTTGAGCGGCACTTCATGTGCTCGAGCGGATTTTGCGAACTCTCAGTACTTTGTAGGTCTGCAAAACTACTGGGAGAGTGTTTTCTACGCTCGAGTGGCGTTTCCTACGCTCGAGCGGGTGGGCACTCGAGCATTGGTCTGTTGTCTGCAAAACTACTGGATGTGTGTTTTCTACGCTTGAGCGCCACTTCTTGTGCTTGAGCGTTGAGTGTCTGTGTCTTGACCACTACAACAAAAAAAGGATTTTACGGTGCGTAATGCATGCTGTAAAACCCTTCTACGACGTGCAGGCACACGCCATATTATGACCAGTCATGAAAAGTCATTCACTTTCAACATGCTTCATACGTCGTTAAAACTATTTAACGACAAATTTTGTGCGTCGTTGTTACTTTTTCTATGACATGCTACAGTACGCCGTTAAAAACTATTTAATGATAGATTTTGCGTGTCGTTGTTACTTTTTCTACGACTTCTTTTGCACGCCGTTAATTGGTAAAACAAATAATGATGCTTATTGCACATCGTAAAATATGTAATACAACGACTAATTATGCCTGCCGTAGAATATGCATTTTTTTAAAAAAATTCATCAGGTTCTATTTAACCAATTTTGTACAATCTAACAAATGTTACAAACAAGTATCACAAAATATCAATCAACCACCAAAATATTGTTTGAAACATCAAAAAGAAACTATATTCATAAATTATAAACATTCAACAATTGTCTATACATTCCAAACATTCAAAAACTATATCCTTAAGTTCTAAATTGTACAAAAAGTTTAAACCATCCAAAACTATGCGTATCTAACTTTCTAAACATATCGGCAATTATTAATAGATTATCTAAAACTACCGACAATAGTTCTTATAGTAGTTGCAGTTGCAGCAGTAGCAAATCCACTTGCTCCTATCTCAGGGATAAGTGTACCCAATGTATGTGTTAAGGAACCTAAACTCATAGCAATCGCTGAAGCAACTAACCCTATTACATTTCTTGTCTGCATGACAAAGGAAACTTCACATAAGTACAAAAACCAACGACGCGGAGACAAAAATATTTCTTGAGGTATTAAGAAATGATCAATAAATTTTAAAACATCAACAAAACATTTCCAAAATTAATAAGATAATTCAATGGCCTCATAAAAGCAATGTCATAATGAAAAATTAGCAAAAATTGAAGATCTCAATAATCTCAACATATATGCAAATAAAATCCACATAAAGCAAAACCTTTTTTTTCATACCTCTAATGAAGTTGTCTCTAATGAAGTTACCTCTTTTCCAAACTTTTTACCAGATAGCGGAATAAAGTCCAAGGATTGATGAGCATGTCATCACTTCAGCGAGGGAGTTTCTCGGTGATGTCCCTATCCGGTGGATTGAATCCAAGGGTTGTCGCAGGAATTGGGATTTATGTGAAAACAACAACTATAAATACGATGCCTAAGATACTCAAGAAGTGATCCTAGGATCCTATTTGCCTTTCTCATTCCCTTTCTTTATCTTGAATCTAGATTATATGCAAGCATAATTTTAAAATTTAATCACAATTGGCTTAATAAGCCAATTATTTCATTGATTATCCAATCTAATTGTCTAATTCATTAATCGCGATTCTTTCTCAAAATTATAAACTGTTACTCTAGTACCAAAACCCTATAATAGATGTCCTCCATAAATTCTCTTTTCTAAATTTTCAGCAATCAATTGATCCCAAATGACTTCAAAAAGAGCCCCTAGATACTGTTTCAGATGGCTATGTACAACCTCATAACAGCCCCAAATCTACTCAATTAGAACATCAAAACCTTACACCTTCCTTATATTCTTACAAGCCTAAAATCCAAAATATCCACGAACAATTACCTATGTGTCGAGCTAATAATAATCAAACTGAAAAAAACCTCATATTGCTGGCTTGCTGCTTCCTTACATGAATTTTGGCACCAGAGCTTGTAGGAGTATCAATCAATGGTTACGTGTAAGTTGTCCTACATCAAGGAGACATAAGGGAGCCAGTCTGCAAGTAAATTTGGTTTCCAGAAGTTTGAAGTTATAAAATTGTAACAGATAATCACACACCACATGTGCATGCACAAAGTATATTAAATACAAATGTGTAATTTAGACATGCCATTGGTTTATCATAAAATGGAAAGTTTTGCGTTTGTCTCACTGCATCACTGGCAACTGGCACTTCATTAAACACAACCCATGCTTGTCCTCAAAGCTTGGCAGTTTTCAAAGCAACAATGTCGAAAATCCTTCCATATTGTGAGAACAAGGCATAAAGAGATCTTTTCAACTCTGCCATATTGCATCAATTCCATAATTAGTTAATTATGATACAAAGTGTTTATACATATAAACTTATTTCAGAAGGCTGTAAAAGACAGTCATGAAGGTATGATAGTAAAATCCAAGATGAAATGCTGACTGTGCGAAAGGTAACTTCCAAAAAAGGAACCATAAGCAACACCAACATCTGCAGGAATTCATTTGACCACATGAAAGTTGACAGAAAATTTGAAATCAGTGAATTATATGACAAAATATATGCCAACCTTGAAACTACATGCATGTAAATGTAATGAAGAAAGTTGCAAAAGATAAAGGGATAACAGTTACTAAAAGTAAGTAAATTTTACATAGCAGCTAAAGTTTCTAAGCAAGGAAATGAACAAATTAAAAAAATGAGAAAAATAACCCCTTGGAGCACTAAGGAAAGAGATTTGCTCCCACAGGAACAATAATAGACTAAAAAGCAAAGATACAGACATGAACGTGACGCAAGACAAAGATGTCAATGCAGAAATTCAAAAGAGAACTAGGACATGGACATGGCTGGCTAAACATACGCCAACACGATTCTTCTTTTTCTCTCAGTAATATATAATTAACATCCATAAGTATTCACCATTAGTTGTTAGAAACTTGATAATATTTAAGCTAGAAACATGAAACCTTTAATGCTAATGTGGTAAATAATGTCATCCCAATTCAACATGGATCAACTCAAACTGCGCTCCAGTACAACCCCTGCCTAATCTTCTTATGGCGACTAATGATTTGCCATCAGAAAATTTTTTTAAAAATGCCTACAATGTATTAACAACCATCTTGTTGTCGTTGCAAAAAAAATAAAAAATAAAAATGCCTACAGTGTTTTAGCAACCTATATTCTCATATATATATATATATATATATATTCAAATATTATATACAATAAATGTAAAATGATATTTGTAAAAATTATAATATTCATGTATTATTTTCTATCACTTCCCTCAACAAAATTATCTTTCTTCAAAAAAAAAAAAAAAAAAAAACAACAAAATTATCTTTCTTTAAAAAAAAAAAAAAAGAAATGTGCATACAAAATATAAACTTCTATACATGCAAAACAAATATCCATCAACCATCCTTAAAGACATTTATACAAAATACTAATAGATTCAACTGTTCAAAGAAAAAAAAATCTCAATTTAGCTCGCAATATCACCTACTCAATAATATCAACTACTCCTTCAATATTACCTGCAAAAATATAAGAATTATTGTAATAAAATTGGCAACATTATTGGACAGTACATGATTACCAAATTACACTCTAGCAGATAAACTTTTTGTGTGTGGCTCAATTGTGCTGAGTCCATGTATTCACATATCAGTGCATTTAGCAGCTTTCCTGCATTTAGCGCATAAAAGTGCAAGAGAAGAAATGCACGACATATATAGATTAGAAAGGTAAGATGTAATAAAAGATAAGGGCAAACAATGCATGTTAAATTTTTAACATCTTTAAAAAACACAAACAAAAGTATGCCAATAGGTAAATTTCTAAAAAGAGTTTTCCTTTAGTGAAACATGTCACTCATGAATCAGTTAAATTGGTTTGGAAGGAAATTAGTATGCAGCTGAGTGTTTGTACTTTGTAGGGTTCTGTAGCAGTCGAAAGCCTTTTTAATTTAAGGATGGTAGGGCAGGGAGACAAGATCGTACATCTTTCGGTTCTGCATACAACAGAATGATAAAATTTAAAAATGGAGTTAACTTGAGCCCCCCTACTCAATCTTTCTGAAGGTTCATATATTTCAACTTATTCAAATCCAGAACAGGTAAAAATGCAGCCAGGCGAAAAAAATTCTGTTAAAGTGGCGTCAAAACCTTGCAATGTAACCTATGAAAATAATTATTATCTGGAGCTTAAACACAAGCTGCATAATTTGGAAAGTTATCAAAAGATTATGCCAGCTCTGTCTACAAATAATCACAAACCACTCCAAATCAATTGCTATGTTCTTCACTACACAACATGCATTTAAAAATTAACTTCACCTTCAACAAAATTTGTGGGTCAATCGATCCTTTCTTTTAAATGCTTCCAGCTTCCTTGAACGTTTTAGTCTATCAACAATGCCATTATCAAATTGGTTCATGGCATATTAAGCTTAGGATTTAAATATTCCTCTAAGCTTTTCTTGTTAATAATTAAAAAGAAAGTAATACTACTATATCATAAACTAGAAGTTTAAGTAGCATGTTGGAGCTAATTGCCAATCACAATAAAGAAAATTTTGAAAAATGCTATTTCCCTTAAACTAATACTATACCAGAAAGAAACTTTATAACATCATATCACTTATAATTTGCTGTTGTGACTCTAAATCATAATACTGTTAAATAGTATTACCCATATAAAACAGTAGTATTACCTATATAAAGCAGTAGCATCCATATCTGCATGTAGAAACGTTTCAATTGACAGCATTTGCTCCTTGTGTAATTGGTCAGATGGACTAATGATAGAATTGAGTAAACAAGACAAAATTGAAATGTACCTCGGAATGATCCTTTCAGAAGCAATGTAAGTTAGCAAAATTGATGCACCTCCTTTAATCACAAGCCAAACTCAATAGTGCCATGACTTTAAAACATAAATATAAGTCCCTAATTTCTTGATGTACTTGCATAGAATGCATTGTGGATGGTATTCCAAATGACTATATAAGCTCACAAAAGAATATTTAAGCAATTACCCTGAAAGATATGTCTGAAACGCCACTCGTCTCCATGCAAATCCTTTACAACAAACTCCTTATTTGGTGGTTTCTGTGATCTGTCCTGTCAAAATAGCAAACACTGATTTGTATGAGAATCTACTTCTAACAAAGAAAATGTGCAGGACGCATGAGTCTATGAGTAATGAATCCTAACTAGAGGGGGAAGGCATTCATCAGCATGCTGTCTTAGCACCAAAAATCCACCATGAGTGCTAGTATCTGAGGCAGTTAGGGTCTTACAAAAAGAATGCACATGAAAGCGTGGTGGTGGAGATGGCATAGGTTCTTTCTCCACCTCATTCTCATCTTCCTGGCATTAACAACGTCAAATTGTTAGGGTTTAATTCTATGTCCATTGCCTTAACATGATCATAGCAAACTTACTTTTAGAGGAAGCAGGGTCACTTGGGCAAACACCTCATCAGTGTCTGGTTCAACCAATACAGATAAAAATCAGAAAATAGCTATATCAGCAAAGTTAAAACCCAAACAAACAAAACCCTTGGCCAACCATTAAAACCCCGAATACAACATCCATCAAATGGATGATAAATTTGATAATACCTTCAATTGGACATTGAGCACATAGCAAAGGATCTTCGATGGAAGATTATACATCGGCATCTCCTGGTCCGCCACTTGATTGGTTGATGCCTCGACCTAGCCAAACACCCAGAAAACCCATCATTCTTGAGCTGCTCAACACAACCCATGTACAGAAATAACAAAAAACTCTGTAAACTCTTCTTAATTGCAAAATAAATTCTTGCCCTAATGCTTCGTGACATGTGTGACTACAGCATCTACAATTCTTACTCTATTCTTTTTTTTCCCATCAAATTTGAGTAAAAATTGTTTAAAAGCTTAATTGATATGAAATACTCCAACATATACTCTTTTATTTATTTATATAATATATATATTTTTAAATCAATTTTTTTTTTGAAAAATTACAAACTTATCCTAAAAATATGTTTTAACCATTTTTTTCATTAAAGAAAATCATCACCAATCACACTTTCTAAAATTTCATTAAATTTGAGTAAAAATATGACTGTTAGAAATTTGGTGAAAGGTTTGGTGAAAAAATTGGCTCTTTCTTTATTTGATACAGATTTTATGAAATGGTTGGAGCCATTTTTTTCATCAAATTTGAATATGATGAAAAAATTGATGAACAATTGGAGATGCACAACCAAGAGAGACAAAACTGATAAAATTATAGAGAATTATGAGAAATCCCAATGAATCTAACCTCTAAAAGAAAAGAAAAAATAAAAAAAATACTCGAAATAAAAAAAAAATACACTACACCAACAACAAGAAAAGAATTAGTTATTATATTAGCAACTTGGGAGAGTTGAACCCCCAAGTCATTATACATCTCTCTCTAACTATAGGCTTTCCCCTTTTACTAATCAAATAAAAGTGAGAAAGATATAGTATCATTGATTTATTTGACAAATAGTGTCGTGGGTCAATTTTATTGATGGCCCAAATCATTGCTTGGTTGTATTCACTGTGAAAAGGAATACAGTGAAATCTATACTTTTATACAAAATGATTTGGTTGCCAAATTATTCTTTCATTTTCAAACAAAATACCCATTACTTAGGCTCATAGTTTCAAAAAATACTCTTGAGACACCATTATGTGTGTGTACTATTTTACCTAAGCACCTTGTCTTTCTTTTTCAGCATGTTAGGCAATCAAACATGAAAAAAGAATATGGACAGTATGATATAATAGCTATTTGAATCATGGAGTTCAAAGTGTACCATTTACAGTTCATCCATGACTAATTTCATTGAATAATTCATCAATACTATTTATAGACATCAATAACAAAAATAGGAAAAACTACTTCATTAATGATAATAGTTTATATTACTTCAAGCTTGGTTTTGGTTGATTATAATTTGTACCCTTGAATGAGGTCACAAAATTTGGAAGTCATAAGCCTTCAAACTTCTAGAAGACATTAGAAGGATTACAAACTGCATCTATTAACTAACCCCGCAAGCAGCATAATCTTATTATTAAACCCACAAATTGAGCACCCAATTATCAATGTTCAAAACATAAGTTTAGATTGTGTATGTGACTCAAACAAAAAGAAACTAAACCTTTGCAGGAGCTTTAGAAATTTAAAATTGATTACAACAATAAAAAATTGAACTAAACACCAATAAGTCCAAAACACAAGAAAATACAAAAAAACGTTTTCCAAAAAATATTTTCATCCAAAACAAACGGAGCGTAAATTTAATTTTAAAGATACGATTTTACCACTTAGTAAAAAGAAAAAATAAGTCGTAGTTATCTGTACTATACCATATGTAAATTTTTCCCCCCTTAATTATCTTATAACATGACATCTTTAGTCAGCTTTTTTTGCCTTTGGTCACAGCCTCTTAATAATTGGTAACGGCAAAAAATGATAAACTATGTTGCTGTATTATTAGTAGGATTCAAAACTTCAAAATATTGACTACAACAATAAACCTTGAACTAAACCACCACTTAGTCCCAACTTATGTATGACAATGTTTGAGCTTCACATGCCTATTTGGTTGCAAAAAAAATAATTTCATTTTGAATTAATTACTTTAATAAATTTTAATTCATAAACTATGATTTCACCCTCTCTTTTTTTCATAATCATAGTAGTAGAAACTGTATTTTTATATGTTAACAAACGATCGTTATGATTTTTCTCTCATAGACATACCGTCAAACACTCAGTGTGCAATGCTAATGCAAGACATAACAAGTGGATTATTCTCTCATGGCCATACTTTCTCAAACATAACAAAAAGCAGTTGCCTACTTTCTTACAGACCACAGGCACACATTCTCTCTAAACAACCATTAGGAGAAAGATCAGAAAAGCATGAAGCAGAGCATCAAAAAACACCTCACACATCAAAATTGGGCATTAATTGGGAAAAAAAATTAGAAACAAAATAGAGAGCATACCTTAAATTTGAACTGTATATGGCAATTTCGAGATGTTTTGCCCCAAAATCAAATAACACGAAACAAAACAGACACAATGAGGGAAGACATTGAACTGTAGATGCATTGGCCCAAGAAGGAATTTGAGGAGAGAGAAAAAGAAGTAAAGGAGCTCAGAAAAGCAACCATTGTGGCCATTGTTGCTGTGACTCTCGAAGATTGCTACTTCTGCAACGAAAGAGGACGTTCTCTCTCTAACCTATTGTAACCTATCTCTTTACGATCTTAAACTCATCAAACCCATCCATAAAATCTTCTTTTTTTTACAGAGACCTTCTCAAAAACCCCCAAATTAGGTTTTGTATTCGACCCACAATGTGATTGGGGGCTAATCAATGGCTCTGAAGATCAAAGATGCTCCGAACCCTCAATCTTTTCTTTCACACCCACTTTCTTCTCAATACCCTCCGGCGACAGTGTTGTTGAGATTTTGGACAAGTTTGGAGAGGATGCCAGGGGTGAGAGATGCCATTGTTGTGGTTGAAACAGGGCGGCGCCACCATGTCGTCGTATGGGTCAGAAGCTAAACAATTGATGTATAATTCTTCTTTTCCTTTATTTTTTTTTTTTGGTTGAATTTGGCGGCAGAAAATTTGACCTTGGCACCTATTTTTTTTAACATACAATACACGACATGCATGGTGCGTCGTAAAAAGGTAATACTTTTAACGGCAAGCATTATGTGAGTCGTAAAAAGTGTAAAACTTTTAACGGCAGGCATTTTGTGTGTGAAATGGGTAATACTTTTCACGACTGGCGCATATGTGTCTTGTATAATTGATGTATTAACGGCACGCCATATGCACGTCGTAGAAAGTTTTATTATTTACGGCGTGCATTGCAAGCCGTAAAAAAATTATCGTTATTACCATTCACGGCCAACGCAATAGACACGCCGTGGTTGAAAAAGTATTTACGACGTGCAAAAAAAGTAAGTCGTAAAAGTGAGAAACTACGACTTGCATTTATTGTATGCCATTGATATGGTGCTGTAAAAGGTCATTTTTGTTGTAGTGGACGCTCGAGCGGCCTTTCTTGTGCTCAAGCAGATCAATTTTTTTTGTGTCTAACGCTAGAGTGTCAACTCTCGTGCTCGAGCGAATTGTGCGTATATCAGATCGCGAAAATGACTTTTGCATCACTTTTTCAGATCTTCTCTTCCAAAAATCCTAAAGCGAGACACACTCTCTCTAAAATACTCTCTTTCTCTCTACATTTTCTCCTAGATCTGTTGATCTCTCCGCCCTTGTGTCTTTGGGAAAAGGGTAGAGCATATTGAGAGCTCCGTCTTTATCCGATTGGAGTTTGGTTTCGGCGTCGTTGAAGTTTCATCTTTGCTCCATTTATCTTCTAAACTTGAGGTAGGGACTCTCTACACTTTAATATGAGTTTTAACTTGGCTATAGGTTGTTGTGTGAAAATGGTGAGATATGTTTCGAGCAAACCTAGGGTTTGGGTTCAAGTTTGAAAATAAGGGTTTCTATGTGGGTGTTATATGAATGATTATGGGGTTTGGATGTGAGGTCACCTTGTGTTAAAATAGTTAATTTTGGACTCTGGGTTAGTATTTAGAAAATGGGGAGCTTTGCCCTAAAATGTCTTGAATAAGTATTTTCTATAAATAGTGAAATTGGTATGGAAAATGTGAAATTGGGAGGATGTATACATGAATGGTGTTCTTAGATTTGTTTAATCAATCACTTATGAAAATTTGATGATTTTTCTATTATAAAGATTGTATATATATATTAGAAATATCTGTTTTGGGCTATCGGTGGAGGATAGTCACGATTGTTGTAGACACTGCATGTGGATTAGGCGAATTAAGATCAATCTCTCAACCATTATCATTGAATATGATTATGAATGATATACATAGTATATGTATGATATTTGGAAGGAGAAAGGGGATGGGCTTCATTGAACTAAGTTAGCCTGTGTGTCCAGGGTGAAAGTCCCGAAAACCATTTGTATACATGGGTGCCGAATCCCACGGATGAAATTTTCATAAAATGGCAAATAGAAGTGAATGTTTTTGTATGATGATTTTATCTGTTGGACACTCATGAGGTGTAACCTCTATTGATGGGTTAAATGCAGTGGATGTATCCATTGAACCAAAATGAACGAATTGAGATGCGAGTTTGGCATAACATGATTTTGGAAGGAGTTAAAAAGATTTTGTCATAGGACAATGAACTTGTGCATCATACTTCTATTTTGTTAATTCTTATATATTGTGTTAGTATGTTTCTACTGGGCTTTGGCTCACTTTACTTAGGAACCATTTTCAGGTGTTGGAGAGATGTGGTTGAGTTGTGATCAAATGTCTTGGAAAGATGTAAGCCCGTAGTGCATTTATTTTGTTAATTATTAACTGGTATTACATGCTATAGATTCAGGATTAACATTTATGAATATATATTGCATGTATTAACTTTTATAAAAATGAACTTTGATGAATGAAAGCATACCAATTCTATTATACTCACTTCTTTTATGAGTTGGATTAGTTGCATTTTTCTGGGGCGTTATAGAAAGAGGGTTTTCAAATGGATTCATGAAAATGGTTGTGAAATTGTAGATGTGGTTGAGTTGTGATCAAATGGTGGATTTTTGTCCTTGGAGTTGATTTTTAAAGAAAGGGGATTTTTTCCTAAATTGTGAATATTTGATTTTGTAAAGAGAAAATGGAATTGATGTTGGTTTTATGAAATTGGAACGATGATGATGATGGGGGTAAAGTTGGATATGAATTATCACTCTTACCTTGAAATTTTGAAAATTATTTATCTGTTTAGAGATATTTGTTTTGGACTATTGGTGGAGGATGGTTATGATTGTTGTAGAAATTGCATGAGAACTAGGTGAATTGAAACTAACTTCTTATCCATTTGCATTGAGCATTGTAACATATTTAGCACATTGAAAATGTTAATTGTTTTGAGAAAAAATGGGTGAATACCTTAGTGAATCTGGGTAGGAAGTGTAGTTGTGGTATTAAGTTGGCCTGTGCGTCCTTACTGAAAGTCTAGAAACATGCGCGGATAAGTGTTGAGCCGTCTGGTTAGTACAGGTAAAAATGACAATTAGTAATGCTTGTAGCCTACTTGCAAACACATCCTAGAGATTCCCAATGTAGTATCCACTTCCCTGTTTTCTATTGTAAAGGAAATGATTTCACGAACTGTGATATATACTTGACATTACATGGTTTTGGAAAGAGATATAAAATGTTTTGGCATGAGCATTGCATATGCATCCATCTTATAACTCTGTTAAGATTTATACACTGTGTCAGAATCCATTTACTAGGCTTTGGTTCATCCTATGTGGAAAACCATTTTCTGGTGCTGATGTGCCTTCGCCAAGGACGAGGCTTGGGATGACTTGGGGCCTAGAGCTTCTTGTTTTGTTTTTGTTGTATTTATTTTGTACAAGCCTAGGGCTTTACTTGTATTGAGTTTCAAGCTCACTTTTGTTGTAACCAAGCATCGACTTGGAAAGTTGTAGCCATTAAGGCATTCATTTTTCTGTTTAACTCTTATTTCATATCTTTTGCTTATGACACTTGTTATAAATTCAGGATTAGGACTTATAAATGTATTACTGCATGTGTTACACTTTTGTAAAAAGATGGAATCATTTGAATGAGAGAATATTATGTTTGGAAACGTATTGTTGTTTAGTAATTGTCAAGGGATACATAATGGTTAATATTTTGGGGCGTGGCAACTTTATATCAGAGCTACCAGGTTTGAATACGTTGGGATCGTAGGAAGTGGTTATTACCACAATGGGTTCTTTTGCTAGAAGAGATAAGGAATAACCTGGTATGCTATGTAATAACATGCTTATGTGACTCAGTGGGTATAGAATTTAATTTCTAAGATATTGATTGGGTCAACGAGTTTGTAGAAGTCCTGTTAAAAGAGTACTTGGTCACTGTTATTTCCAACTGGAACTTTGGCAACGTCGCGGGATAATCATTATCTAGAAAGGAAATTCATATGTGTTTATGTGACTACATGCTTATGTGGAGTGAATTATTTGTTGTCCACCGCATTAGGACAGCTTCGGCACATTTGTAACTGTGCTAATCTCTTATGTTACCTTCATTAGGACGCGGACGTGGTGGTGGTAGGCGTGGCAAGCCCAGACGGCAAGAGGTGCTATTACCAGATGATATTCTGGCACAGGAAGAAAGGGTTGGTAAGGCCAATGTGGCCGAACCAGTTGGTCAGCAGGTCATGGGTGCTTTAGCTCGTGAGATGGCCAGAGCTTTATGGGAATCCATGGATATTCTCAGAGCTGAGAATCAAGTCCAAGCCCAGGTTGTGGAAGCAGGGCCATTGTTTTTGAAGAGAGAGTTCTTCCGGTCTAATCTGAATGAGTTTTTGAGGGATCCGAAGGAGCCACTGAAGGTGGATGAGTGGTTGGAACAGATGGTGAAGACATTCGAGATGCTTGGCATCGAGGACGATGGATTGAGAGTGACCTTAGGATCCTTCTAGCTGAAGGAAAATGCGGGTCAATGGTGAAAATATGTGTGTGGACTCATTGGAGTGACTTGGGAGCCTTTTGTTAACGCCTTCTAGAACAAGTTTTTGCCGACCACTGTTAGGGAGAAGTTGAACGAGCAGTTTTTGAAGCTCAAGTAGCTTAACACACCTGTGGGCGAGTTTGAGGCTACCTTTACCAGTTCATCGAGGTTTGCACCAAAGCTAGTAACAACGAAGGAATGTCGTTGCTTGGAGTTTCAGAAGAGGTTGAGGATCGGACTCCTTTTCAAGGTGGCCGCACCCATGATTAGGGATTGTGATCATCATGTGGAGGCAATGGCTCACTTAGAGACCATGATTCAGACTTAGGAGGAGCCGATGAGGCGCTCCAAGCAGAGGTACCAAGAAAGGCAGAGGGGTTCCACCCCATAGAAGTCCCAGGGAGCATAGTCTAGATCCACTTTGCCTATACCGAGTTTTGGTTCAGGGAGAGGTGGTTAAGGTGGAATCACTTGTTTTAAGTGTGGTCAGCTAGGCCACAAGTCTATAGTTTTCCTACGGAGGAGTGGAGGGCAACAATCCGCATTGTCTTCAGCTCGTTCTCAGAGCCAGAGTTAGGGGAGAGGACAGTTGCCTACCTGTTATCAGTGTGGGCATTCGAGGCACTTGAGGAGGTTTTGCCCTCAGGCAGGTGGCATATCTGGTATGTCTGGTTTGAGGCAGACATAGAGCCATCAACCTATACCGTTAGCTCAGGTCTCAAGGGCCAATCTGGGAGCCTCTTCAGATCAGTCAGTGTATTAGACTCATGCTATGAGGGGTGAGCAGGTGGAGTAGAGACCTACAGGGCGTGAGTATACTGTTACCATGCCAGATTTGTTACCAGCACCTTCGGTGGTGAGAGGTAACTTCTTGTTGTGTAATTCTATTGCTAATGTGTTTATTGATACCGATGTATCCTATTCTTTTATTTTGTCTGCATGCACATCGGCATTGGGGGTTAGAAGTGGCTCGGTTTGTATCTCTACTCAAAGTAGAGTCATC